ATGAGAGGGGGAAGTTGGGAGGCTCGAAACCTGAAAAAATTCTTTGACATCGCTCTATTTCCAGTGCTGGGAAAGGAGAAGGGGTACAAAAAATGTAGGCAGGATGATCATGTCTTGCTCGATTCACGAAAGAAATAAGCTCTTTTCTTCGTAGAACGACAAGAGCTACAGTGATTCACCGTGTTGCAGAAAGTCCTTACTGGCTATGACAGCTAAACTGAATCTCTTGATTGCGTTACATTACTAAACAAGACAAAGCATTAGATCTTGGTGAAAGAGTTCTCTCAAAATCTCAATTCCTACTGGCATTGTTGGCAAGCAAGGCCAACGTTACTAAATTCATTACGTGAGGTAGACATACCGGCAGTTCAGCAAATTATAATCCGTTATTCCTGGCTAGAATTTATCACGAAACACGAAAAAGTAGTTTCACTAAACATGATAAATATTTAAAATATCGCGGATCCGTTACCAGAATTGATCTTGACAATTTTGAATGAAGTGTTCTCTGGTAAAAATTATAAAAAACATAAGCTTTCGACAGCTGGTCTACTGCCCTCGATTTTTTTAGCCGTCGGAGACAGTAGACCGGCTGTCGAAAGCTCACGAGCAATAACTTTTACCGGAGAATGCTATATTCAATTTTATCATAATAAATATTGTGTTCTAATTACAGTCACATTTTCAGGCTTAACGGTTGTTAGGAAAATTGAAAAATAATGATTGAGTAAGATGAATAAATGAGCAAATATGACAAAAAAGTTGAATCTATTTTGTAAGTTGGAGTATGACCTGAACTAATACTGCTATGTAATTCAATTTACTGAATACAATTGGCATCTCGTTTCCAGATGTGGATGAATGCAGCGCTTCAATTGCCGTGTGTGACGTCTATGCCGATTGTAAGAATACTCGTGGCTCTTATCGTTGTTCCTGTAAAACTGGATTTATTGGAGACGGAAAAACGTGCACCGGTAAGAGAGCAGCCGAATAATAAAGTGTCTAGTATATCATAGGCGTGCGGGTAACTTTGGACGTGGGGCGGCTGATACCTTCTTATCCGAAGAAAATGCATCATGCCTGAATGCGCGAGTGTTGAAATCGGGACACAAACGCACTTTAAAGGTGTGTCCTTTGGGGTGATCTGAAACAGAATCAGTGATCCAAGATTTCTCTGGATCATGCTGCATCAATTCAAAGGAACCGATGAACCATGCCCAGAGTGGATTCATCGTATCCGTTGATGCACCATGATCCAGACAGATCTTGGATCACTGATCCTGATCAAGATCACCCCAAAGGAACGCACCCTAAGGGTATGAAAAAATAACGTTTACAATTCTTACGTGTAATGAAACTTTAATAATTCCAAAAATAGTTATTTTGAAACCTCCCGTACTGTATGACCTCCTTTCGACACACATCTGCTCGGGACACGAAGTTTTTCTTTCGTTTCAGAGCCGTGTTTCGAAAGCCGCTTGTGATTTGTTTAAGTCTATCTGTCATTGTTTGCAAGGGTTTCCTGGCTTAAAAATGAGTTCTCTACTGTCGCCTAATCCTGGTTTGGGGATTTAGCCATGAAACACACAGATGTGTCGGAAAAAAAATGTCCCTCGGTTTTGTCTACGTTCGATCTACTCATCACAATAAGTTGCCGCGTATCCAGCGTGGTTGCCTAGAAGGTGTAGTGGATATCACGCCCGACTCTGAGTATGCGGGGAGACGCGGGTTCCAATCCTGCTCGAGACACGAAGGATTTTTTTTTTTCATTTCAGAGAAGTATGTCGAAAGTCGCCTGTAATTTGTTCACGTCTATCTATCGTTGTTTGCAAGGCTTTCCTGGCTTGAAAATAATTTCTCTGCTGGCGTTCTTGTGATAAAAATCAGGAACCGCGTATTGACGAGAAAGATAGGCGCGAACTGCAGAAGATGCCACTGAGCAATTACAAATCAGGAGCTAGCAAAGCCATTCAAGAGCCACGGTTTCAAGATCTAGATAGACGCGTTGTAGAAACTAGACCGACTATCCGAGACGAGCGTCTTTGAAAAAAAAAAAAAAAGCTCTCTGAAACTTGAAAAAATCTTTGACATCGCTCTATTTCTAATGCTGGAAAAGGAGAAGGGGTACAAAAAATGTAGGCAGGTTGCTCATGTCTTGTGCGGGCGAAAGAAAATCGATTCACGAAAAAAAAAATTAGCCCTTTTCTTCGCAGAACGACAGGAGCTACCGTGATTCACGGTATTGAAGAAAGTCCCTGCTGCAGGTTATGACAGCTAAACTGAATCTCTTGATTACGTTATATTACTCAACAATACAAAGCATTAGATCTTGGTGAAAGAGTTCTCTCAAAATCTCAATTCCTACTGGGATTGTTGGCAAGCACGGCCAGGGTTACTAAATTCATTACGTAAGGTAGACATGCCGGCAGTTCAGCAAATCATATTCCGTTTTTCTTGGCCAGAACTTATCAAAAAACACGAAATAGTAGTTTCACTAAACATAATAAGTATTTAACATATCGCGGATCCGTTACCAGGATTGATCTTGATAAATTTGGATATAGTGTTCTCTGGTAAAAATTATTAAAAAACATAAGCTTTCGACAGCTTGTCTACTGCCTTCGATTTTTTAGCCGTCGGAGACAGTAGACCGGCTGTCGAAAGCTCACGAGCAATAATTTTTACCGGAGAATGCTATATTCAATTTTATCGTAATAAATATTGTGTGCTAATTACAGTCACATTTTCAGGCTTAACGGTTGTTAGGAAAATTGAAGAATAATGATTGAGTAAGATGAATAAATGAGCAAATATGGCAAAAAAGTTGAATGTATTTTGTAAGTTGGAGTATGACCTGAACTAATACTGCTATGTAATTCAATTTACTGAATACGATTGACATTTCGTTTCCAGATGTGGATGAATGCAGCGCTTCAATCCCCGTGTGTGACGTCAATGCCGATTGTAAGAATACTCATGGCTCTTATCGTTGTTCCTGTAGAACTGGATTTATTGGAGACGGAAAAACGTGCACCGGTAAGAGAGCAGCCGAATAATTAAGTGTCTAGTATATCATAGGCGTGCGGGTACCTTTGGACGTGGGGCGGCTGATACCTTCTTACCCGAAGAAAATGCATCATGCCTGAATGCGTGAATGTTGAAATCGGGACACAAACGCGCTTTAAAGGTGCGTCCTTTGGGGTGATCTGGATTAGAATCAGTGGTCCAAGATCTGACTGGATCATGCTGCATCAATTCAAAGGAACCGATGAACCATGCCCAGAGTGGATTCATCGCATCCGTTGATGCACCATGATCCAGACAGATCTTGGATCACTGATCCTAATCTAGATCACCCCAAAGGAGACCAAGGAATAAAAAAAGTAACCGTTTACAATTCTCATGAGTAATGAAACTTTAATAATTCCAAAAATAGTTATTTTGAAACCTCCCATAGTGTATGACCTCCTCCCCCAGTTTCGACACACGTCTGCTCGGGACACGAAGTTTTTCTTTCATTTCAGAGTCGTGTGTCGAAAGCTGCTTGTAATTTGTTAAAGTCTATCTGTCATTGTCTGCAAGGGTTTCTTGGCTGAAAAATGAGTTCTCTACTGTTGTCTAATCCTGGTTCGGGGATTTAGCCATGAAACACACAGATGTGTTGAAAGAAAAATGTCCCTTGGGTTTGTCTCCTTTCGATCTACTCATCACAATAAGTTGCCGCGTATCCAGCGTGGTTGCCTAGAAGGTGTAGTGGATATCACGCCCGACTCTGAGTATGCGGGGAGACGCGGGTTCCAATCCTGCTCGAGACACGAAGGATTTTTTTTTTTCATTTCAGAGAAGTATGTCGAAAGTCGCCTGTAATTTGTTCACGTCTATCTATCGTTGTTTGCAAGGCTTTCCTGGCTTGAAAATAATTTCTCTACTGGCGTCCTTGTGATAAAAATCAGGAACCGCGTATTGACGAGAAAGATAGGCGCGACCTGCAGAAGATTCCACTGAGCAATTGGCAGATCAGGAGCAAAGCCATTCAAGTGTTTCAAGATGGACGCGTTTTATAAACTAGACCGGCTACCGACCCGCTATCCGAGAGAAGCTCGGTCAGTAATCCAAGAAATATATTAGATTTTGACTGTCTAACACAGCAATTGGTTCACGGAGTGCTATGACGTAAGCAGTGTCTTCTCACGTGCCTATCGTTATTCGGAATTAAAAGAGATGCAAATACGAATACTTTAGATTAAGAAACGTACCTTTACCACAGTCTTTGCAAAAGTTGGCATTTTGATCGACTAACGAACCACAAGAGCTGCAAAACATCATGAGCTCGAAATAAGGAACACTGCACTAAAAATGGCGGTTTCCGAGCGAGCAGTGTGTTACTGTTACACGACATACCATTTGAAAAGCAAATAACAACC